TTTTTTGAGACAGAGTCTCACTCTGTCGCCCCAGCTGGAGTGCAATGGTGAGATCTCAGCTCACTGCAGCCTTCGCCTCCTGGGTTCAAGCGATTCTCCTGCCTCAGCTGCCGGAGTAGCTGGGACTACAGGCATGCAACACCATGCCCAGCTAATTTTTATGTATTTTTAGTACAGACAGGGTTTCACCATATTGGCCAGGCTGGTCTCAAACTGCTAACCTCAGGTGATCTGCCTGCCTCAGCCTCCCACAGTGCTGGGATTACAGGCATGAACCACTGCGCCCAGCCCCAATTTTGCTCTCAAAGGGCCTTTGCGCATCCTCAGTAGGTGGCTGCCCCATAGAAGGTACTTAATTAGGGACTGTTGTTGAGACGGAAAGATGGAAGAGGTGGGCATCTCTCTCCCACTCCCCCAGAGCTGACTGGGCCAGAGGTGAGGCCTTTGTGGAGAGACACATCTGCCTTGGGAAGCAAGCTCCTTTCCTAGCTTTTGGTCTGTTCATGTTTTATCTTCTCTGGTCACAATTCAGGACAGGTTGCCAGGTGAGTCAGAGAAGGTTCCATCAAGGCACTTCCCCTGAGAAAGGTCACAAAGACCTTGTGCCTGAGGGTGGAGAGAGGATGGCATCATCCTAGCTCAAAAGTCTGCCCCAAGATAGTGCCACACAGAGAGGGCAGTGTCCCTTTTCCAACTCCCATTTCTGCCTCTATCACTTGAGAGTGCTTGCCCAGAGCTTTAGACTGATGCTCCATCGGGGAGAACTAGGTGGCTCAAAGTCTTCCCCCAATGTCTGTACCTCTGCACCTGGCCCTGGCATTCCTTCCAGCCCCATAAGATTAAGGGACTCAGGATGAGGTAATCAGCCACAGTTACTACACTATGTGCCCACAGGTGGATGAAGGGGCTCATTTGAGTTCTGAATTTTCTGACAGTCTGGCTCTGCCATCACCCCTGCCTGGGTGAATTAGCCTCCAAACCTAATGGCCCACCAGTGCCCATGGAGGTGGTACCCAGACCACAGCAGATATCCCTTCTTCCCCAGCTCAGTTCATGATGTCCATGGGGACTTCAGGCCTGCCCCCAACAAGCAGGGACTAATTTTGGGGGGAAGTGCCAGGGACCTGGTTGAGTGGCACAACCACTTCAGTGATCGTATCCGTGGTGGCCCGGGAGCATTTCCGGCTGCTGCGCATGCTGTAGAACTTTTCCGAGAGATGCTTGCGGAACTTCTTGGTGAGGAAACAGTAGATGACAGGGTCTAAGACACAGTTGGTGCTAAGGAGGCAGAGGGTGACCTGATGTGCATCGTTAATGGCCTGGTGGAAGTTGCTGTTCTGGAAGCCCAGTTCAGCCAGGGTCCAGGGCAGCTGCACCATGTGGTGGGGCACGAAGCAGATGATGAACACCGCCAAGACTGTGCACACCATCCACAGCGCCCGGCGCCTGACTTCAGCGTTGCGCTGCTGCTGCACCGGCTGCATAAGCAAGGTGCGAATGATGACCAGGTTGCAGAAGAAGATGATGAGGAAGACCAGGAAGAAGCTGAACACGATGAAGATGTGGATGATGAGGACTGGCATACTGCCCTTCTCGTAATGCTCGAAGCAGCGGGTGATGTTGCCGGAGCCAGCACTGTTGGACACTGTGTTGGTGGAGTCCATGATGAGGAAGTAGGATGCAGCGCCCACAATGGCCACCCAGATAGCCAGGGACAAAGAGATACCACGTTTGCGCATGTTGGTCTGAGCAGTCTTGATGGGCTGAGTCACTGCCTGGAAGCGGTTATAAGTGATGACGCCCAGGAAGGCCACAGAGCAGTAGGTGTTGATGAAGAAGAAGCAGCCAGCCACGTTGCACAGGAATTTGGGGAGAATCCAGTTGCCCCGGTTTTGGTAGTAGACAATCCACAGTGGCAGGGTGATCAAGAAAAGCATGTCCGCCATGGTGAGGTTCACCATGAAGATCTTTATCTCATTGAGTTTCTTGGAAGGGTACAGGCGGGCAAAGACCCACAGCACGTAGCCATTAGCAATGACCCCAAGCACAAAGATGATGCTGTAAACAATGGGGAAGAGAGTGTATCGGAACTCAGAGTCCACATGGGAGTAGTCATGTGGCTCCATTGCTGTGGGCTGGAATGATCAACTGGTCCTGGCCCTGGCAGTGCCTGGAAGACCACACAAAAATTCTGGTTAATAAAGGGACAAGAAAGGACTGTTCTATTTCATGAATTCCAAGACTCCTTGCCATGGCTAGGATGATGATGTCCCCTCCAAAGTTTATGCTGAATCTTTTTTTTTTTTTTTTTGAGACCGAGTCTTACTCTGTTGCCCAGGCTGAAGTGGCGTGATCTCAGCTCACTGCAACCTCCGCCTTCTGGGTTCAAGTGATTCTCTTGCCTCAGCCTCCTGAGTAGCTGGGATTACAGGCAAGCTAATTCTAGCCTGTAATTTTTATATTTTGAGTAGAGATGGGTTTCCCCATGTTGGTCAGGCTGGTCTTGAGCTCCTGACCTTGTGATCCACCTGCCTCAGCCTTCCAAAGTGCTGGGATTACAGGCATGAGCCACTGTCCCTGGCCTCTGTTGAATCTTAATTCCAGTGCAGAGGTGTGGCCTGTGGAATGTGATTAAGTCAGAGGGTGGAATGGGATTAGCATGGTTAGAAAAGGGTGCCAGGTTGCCCGGGGAGGTAAGGTTGAAGTGAGCCATGATCGGACCACTGCACTCCTGCCTGGGTGACAAGTGAGACCCTGTCTCACACACACAAAAAAATTAATAATTCTTTAAAAATGGCTCAAGTTTGAAGAAAGGGCTTAATCTTGCCCTTTTTGTCTTTCCATCCCTTTTGCCATGTGAGGTCACAGCTTTCAAGGTGTGACCTTGGAAACAGATAACCAGGCATCAGACACTAAGCCTGCTGGCGCCTTGATCTTGAACATCCTCCAGAACTGTGAGAAATAAATTTCTTTTTCTTTTTTCTCTTCTTTTCTCTGTTTTTTGCTTTTTATAGATAATCTTTCTCTGTTGCTCAGGCTAGAATCCAGTGGTGTGATCATGGCTCACTACAGCCTCAACCTCCTGCACGCAATTATCTTCCCACCTCAGCCTCCTGAGAAGCTGGGACTATAGGTATGTGTGTAACGCCACACCCAGCTAACTGTTGCATTCTTTGTAGGGAAGGGGTTTTACTGTGTTGGTAGTCTGGAACTCCTGGCCTCAAGCATTTCTCCCACCTCAGCCTCCCAAAGTGCTGGGATTACAGGTGTGAGCCCCCACTCCCGGCCAGAAATACATTTCCTACACTTTATAAATTACTCAGTGTCAACACTAATGGATTGAGACACTCCCATTTTACACATCTTTAAAATTCTAAAATTGATGGCATTTTCCAATTAATTGGCAGTGGTCTTTCTCTCTTTCTTTCTTTTGTTTTGGGTTTTTTTTTTTTTTTTGAAACAGTGTCTCACTCTGTCGTCCAGGCTGGAGTGCAGTGGCAAGATCTAGGCTCACTGCAACCTCCGCCTCCCGGGTTCAAGCAATTCTCTGCCTCAGCCTCCCAAGTAGCTGGGATTACAGGTACCTGCCACCACACCCGGCTATTTTTTGTATTTTTAGTAGAGACGGGGGTTTCACCATCTTGGCCAGGCTGGTCTTGAACCCCTGCCATCATGATCCACCTGCCTCAGCCTCCCAAAGTACTGGGATTACAGGTGTGACCACCATACCTGGCCTCTCTCTCTCTCTTTCTTTCTTTCCTTCTTTCTTTCTTTTTCTCTCTCTTTCTTTCTCTCTCTTCCTTCCTTCCTTCCTTCTTTTCTTTCTTTTGAGACAGAGTTTCACTTTGTCACTCAGGCTGGAGTGCAATGGCATGATCTCAGCTCACTGCAACCTCCACTTCCCAGGTTCAAGCAATTCTGGTGCCTCAGCCTCCTGAGTAGCTGGGACTACAGGTGTACGAAACCACACCTGGCTGATTTTTTTTGTATTTTAGTAGAGATGGGGGTTTCACCATGTTGGCCAGGATGGTCTCAAACTCCTGATCTCAGGCAATCTTTGCCCAACCATAAAAGTTATATTTTAAAATGGAATAAAAGAAGAGGCCTGGCACAGTGGCTCACACCTGTAATCCCAACACTTTGGGAGGCCAAGGCAGACGAATCACGAGGTGAGAAGTTTGAGACCAGCCTGGCCCCCATGGCAAAACCCCGTCTCTACTAAAAATACAAAAATTATCTAGGCATGGTGGCACGTGCCTGTAATCCCAGCTACTTGGGAGGCTGAGGCACCAGAATTGCTTGAACCTGGAAGGCGGAGGTTACAGTGAGCCAAGATTGCACCATTGCACTCCAGCCTGGGCAACAAGAGTGAAACTCCATCTCAGAAAAAAAAAAAAAGAAGAAGAAGAAGAAGATAAACAGAACTGATATTGATTTTGTTGAATTTCAGTTGCTATTCATTGTCAAAACACATCATTATTTTATGTAGAAAAAAAAAAATACTGCATGGTCAGGTGTGGTAGCTCTCACCTGTAATCTCAGCACTTTGGGAGGCCAAGGCAGGTGGATCACCTGAGGTCAGGAGTTAGAGACCAGCCTGGCCAACATGGTGAAACCCTGTCTCTACTAAAAATACAAAAATTAGCCGGGTGTAGTGGTGAGTGCCTGTAGTCCCAGCTACTCAGGAGGCTGAGGCAGGAGAATTGCTTGTACCTCGGAGTCAGAGGTTGCAGTGAGCTGAGATCCTGCCATTGCACTCCAGCCTGGGCAAGACTGTCTCAAAAAAAATAAAAATAAAAATAAATAAGTAAAAATTAAATAAAATATAAATTTGTCTTATTTGTCTTCTTTTGACTTAGAATTTTAGATCATCTGTTTCTAGTGATAAATATATATACATTCTTATTATACAAAATTTGAAATTTTAATTTTCTTTTTCTTTTTCTTTTTTTTTTTTTTTTTTTCGAGT